AAGAGTGGTTTTTAGGACTAGGTATTTCCACAAACCAACATGATTATTTAGATAATTATGTGTATTTTTGGCATCAGAAATAACCTTTAAAAAAATTCCGGTGTCTTCCCTGTGATAGCACAAGTCTTCCTGGTAAATTTTCTGTTAAAAGAAATAAACCAGAAGATTCTTCACACCAATAAATCTCCAATTTCAAGTAAAGGTCTCTATTTTGTTCAGTTTCTCTTTCTGTTGTTAACAGTATGCATTTCAATACATAAGAGTGTTGATGAAATTCTTGTAAAACAATAATGAATTGACTTCAATGCATAATAGAACGTTTAGAAATACCTTCTACATAGTCATAATGGGAAAAGACAGTCAACTCCCAATTATTCAGGAAGTGATAACCTGAAGGATCTGGCCTGGAACTTCTACCAGCCTTTTTGATCATGCCACTGCTCATCCACAGACAGAGAGGCAACTTGAAATGATGTATCTACCTGTCAGTGTATAGGTTACCCAGAGCTCAGTGGAAGGAGGTCCAAAGCTCCTGATGGCAAAAATGTTTGGGGATCACCTGTGAATTTTATATCTCAATGGAGAGTTGACAGTCATTTACATGTTAAGAAGTACAATACTCTGACCTCGATTGGAATCAAATTAATTTAAGGCAATACTGCTCCTCAGACATTGCTGACATAAAGTGCAGGTCTCATCAGAAAAGTGACTGTAGAAGTGAGACTGTCCCAGTTTACCTCTTCCTTCTTGACTTCTCCACAATTAAATTTCAACATTTCCAACAACAGTTAAATGGCAAGCGCAACAACAACCTTGACCCTTCCCTGTAATGATCAGGGAGCAAAGGTTCTTCCACCAGGAGTTTGGATGACTTTGTGCCTCATGCAGCTTTATCAGGACAGTCTCCAGTATGCTTCTCCCTGCCCATATTACCTATTGTGGGCTAAGGGGAAAACAGGATTCTATCAATAGGAAGATAAGCAGTTATGGCTTTAAGACTCACAGGCCCCACCAGATGTGAAGAGAAAATGGGACCATTTATCTAGTCACTTCTCTGACTAAGAGCAGTAAGGAATGAACAAAGTACTTTAAAAACCTGTTTTTTCCTTTTAGCTAAGAGAACAGGTTTTTATTTTTTATGATTGTTTCTAAAAAGCCAATGCTATCAGAATATGGCACACTATGTACAGGGGAGTCTAACTGACCAGTTACACAACTGCTGTTTTCCCAAAAGGGAAAGAAGTCTTTGAATGCAAATTCTATTCTGTTCTCAGTCCCCCCAAAAGCTGATTACTTGTTCCTTTACTTGGCTGAAGATCTTACAGCCAATCACCACAGTTATCTTTTAAGGAAATTATCACTGAATAAATAAATAATCTTGATATTCCCCAAAGTGATTTTTATACAAAGGCAACACTCATTAAAAATCAAGGCTCTATGGTAAACTGAATGCACCATATTATAACAGGTGTTTCCAAAGAACGAGTTGGCACAAGACAAATTTAAAGAATATTTGACAGTATTAAATAAAAATAATTATCAGTTAAAAGTTCATTATTTTTACACCAGAAAGTCCTGATATTGAGGGAAAGGTATGGTCAAAGTCAGCAATCAATATTCATCATCCAAGTTTGGCTTCAGGCCACAGTAGAGAAGAAAAGGGAAAATGGGTCCAGTTCATGATGTTCTTTGTGAGTTGTATGGAATACAAGGCCAAATATCACCCATTGTGGAATATGTTGATCTAGATCCAAGTGGTCACTGCCATTGTGAAAAGTTTTCCTCCTGGGAGCAACTATCCATATATTTCTCTTCTAATTCACATGTTTCTATGATCAAAAGACATATAGTCTTTCTTGCCATTCATTAGACTGTTCATTGCTGGTTATTGTAAAGACATTTGAGGAACAGAAATTTGATGGTATGCAAAGTGCCTTTCTAAAAATCTCAGTGTTCTCTTTAAGTGAGTGTAGCAACTGTCTAGTCTCCCAATAAAATAATCTGGCTGACGGTGGTTTGACACTAGAATCAAAAAAAAATTTTTTTTTTTAACTCAGAACTTTTAAGCTGACCATATCTCACTTTGCTATTAGGCAATGACTTACAACAAAAATTAGGCTGGGGGGAGGGGCTGTTATCTGTCCAGTATAAGGCTCCTTAACACATTGTGCTCATTCAGCAATACTGGTGCTAATAGAGCCTGGCCTCTAGAGAACAGAGGTATAGAAACAGAAAGATTTTCCAAGGCCAGAAGCATTTGCTTACATCACAACATTAAAGCATAATACATTGTGGGCCTAAAAATTAAATTGCGTGTGTTCCAGCAGTAGGAACAGGAAAAAAATAAATGCTTCCACATTTATATAGAAATGACACAGAGTAAAGCACAGAATACAGTGAAGAATGTTTGGCAGTTCCTTAAAATACCATTGTTAGTTGCTTTCATAGTCTCAAAGCTAATTACATTATTTGAATGAGAATAAGAGGATTTAGGTGGTTGAGTTTGATTTCTGTCTCCTTATTCACAGGGAAAGAATTACTCTGATATGCTTTAAAGAATGTTTGCTTTACCAAAAAATTAAGTTAAATTAAAATATTCTAAAATACCAATCATTTAAAAACCTTAAAAAATCAAATTTTCAATACAGATGTTGAATTGAGTGTCACAAAGGAAATACCACCTTTGGTCACTCACTAAGACAGTTGAAACACTAACATTCTGGTTAAGAGTTAAGTGGCCTGACAGTTTTGAAGGAAATATATCCAATTAGCATTTCATAATAATAAATACAATTGAATAAAGCACATGAGAAGAGGAATGCAGAATTTAAAAAGTAAAACTGATCATTGCATGAGATATAAAAATAAACATTTATAAAATAAAAATATGGCAAATGATATTGCTCATTTGCTTAATTATCAAATAAAAAAACACTGTTATTGTTTTTTTTCTTTAAAGCTACCATAAAAACTTTTTAAAATATGAAGCAAAATCACAGGGCAGACAAAAAACAATGTAAGTCAACAAGGCCTAAGCTTTGGATATTGAAACCACCCTCTCTGCAACTGGACTTAAGGCCAGGACCCCATTTTGTTTGCCATTGGCTAAATGAAGGCTTTCATGCATGCATTTCATCATGGCCATTCAAAGTCCTGTTATTTTGCCTTTCCCCATTTCTCTGAAGTAACTACCTCCCTTAGGGTTTTGTTTTTTTATCATTCTCCTCAAAGTTAACTCTTAGACACCTTTTGCCCAAATTTCTACAATCCAAACACTTTCTGAAATCAAGGCCCTTCTCAAAATGAAACACCCACATCCACTCTCAAAACTACTCTTAATAGCTTCCTGAATATCGCCTGACTTTAAAGTCTAACCAGAAAGATAAGGCAAACTGAAGGCATTTCCCAATGGGAAAAGAATGGGTTACGAACTTTTTTCTAGTCACCTACACATTTCTTTCCTAAACTAAAACTATACTAGAATGCCAAAAATGTCAGATTCATACTGTGAAAAATTATAGGCAGTCAAGTTGAAGGGATATTACACACACACACACACACATATATATACGTATATATATACATATACCAATACAGATGTTGAATTGAGTGTGTGTGTGTGTGTGTGTGTGTGATTGACATTTGTGTTAACTAACTAGTATAGGAAAATAAGCATTTCCATAAGGTTTGAAGTTAGACAAAAACTATTTCTTGAAGAGGAGTTTAAAGGTCTTGTATAAAGGATCCAATGACCATATATAATTAACGATATGCAGAACTAAATACATGCATAAGGAAGTACTTTATTAATTTCAACTTGATGTTGAATTACCTATTTATTGAGAAGTACATAAAATATTTTTGAGGTTGTCAACAAATATTGTTATGTGTTTTAAGCAAGAGGAAAATTTTGATCTATGGCCAGAGAGGATGATGAAATCATCATTTATAAACACCTCTTTCCAATTCCACTTGCCTTGGCTATATAAAGGAATGTAAAATAAGAGAAGGGATAAAAAGTTTTCATTTTTAGTTGACTTTACACAGACCTGAGTTAGGATATTATAGAATTATTTTTTTCCAATTAATGCTAATCAATGTGCAATGCCCAGAGGCTTCAGAAGTCTCGATCTATTGATGAAGCAATAGCAAGAAAGTGTTAGAGAACGCCATCTAGGTCAATTTTCCCTGGAGGGTGTGTATAAGTATCTGCAAAATCTCTATAGTCCTGATAGTCAGAATAACACATTTTAATTGTTCCAGGTATGATCTTTTTAAAATACTTTATGGTTGTGATTTTTTTTTCTTTTCCTAGAAAGTACAAAAAGCAAAAGGCTCTTTCAATATATCATATACTAATGAACCCCAAAACAACTGTTTCTTACACTCTTCTATTCTCCATTTCATCCAAACATTGTTTTATTTACCTTGATCATTATCTTCACTAAATTCTAATTGCTAAGTAAAGTATAGTCCCTAGATACCAATATTTCATACCTAAGAAAAAATGGCATTTTATAGATCTCTTAGACACTGTATCCATGGAAGTATAAGCAGTGTAGAGGTGGTCAATATTCAGAAGCTAGATTTTCTTGTACTGCCCAAGTGATGAGAAATAACCAAAACATTTTAAATGCATTAAAATTATTTATGGTCAAAAAAACCCTTGAGGATAAATCCCAGGAGTACAAACATAGGAGGAAAAAATAAATGTGGAATGCATTCTGCATCATCCAGTAATATTTGCTACAGTGAGTCCGTTTTCAAGGCAGATTCGTAGGTTTTTACTGCTTATAATGGAAACCTGGGGAAGAGAGAAAAAAAGAAGAAACAACATTAAGAAAAAAAAAACCTCTGAAAATAAGCAAGGAGGTGAGGGTAGGCAGGGAGAGGTCAAGAGGGGAAAAAGAAAAAAAAAGTGAATATATTTGATCTGCAACAGTATCTTATAAAAAAGCCACAGTAGTTTAAATAAGTAATTTTTATAGATAATTTAATAATGTTATGTCATTCTTAGGATTTGATTCATTGCTCAGTGATTTACCATTGTGCAATCAATAAACATAGGTTTATGGAAAAAATAAAAATAAACTAAGCAATTTAGAGATTCAATGCAATCCCTATCAAAATACCAATGGCATTTTTCACAGAACTAAATCAAAGAATCCTAAAATTTATACGGAACCACAAAATACCCCAAATAGCCACAGCAAACTCTTAGAGAAAAAGAACAAAGTTAGAGGTAGCATACTACCAGATATCAAACTATATTACAGGGTTGTAGTAATCAAAACATTATGGTACTGCATAAAAACAGACGTATGGATCAACGTAACAGAATAGAGACCCCAGAAATAAATCCATGGCTATATGGGTCAATTCCTCTATAACAATAGAGGCAAGGATATACATTGGGATCTTAAGCAAAGGAAACAAAATAAAAAAAATTAAAAAAATGGGACTACATCAAAGTAAATAGGTTTTGCACAATGAAGGAAACCATCAACAAAAAGAAAAAGACAACCTACTGAATGAAGAGAAAATCTTTGCCAATGATACATCTCGTACGGGGTTAACATCCAAAATATACAATAAGAAAGTCAAACAACTTAACACCATGAGAAAAAATAATACAATTTAAAAATGGGCAGAGGACCTGAACAGACACTTCTCCAAAGAGGTCATTCAGATGGCCAATAGACATCTGAAAAGATGCTCAACATCATTAATCATAAGAGAAATGCAATTTAAAACCACAATACGATATCACCTCATATACCTGTTAGAATAGCTATCATCAATAAATCATCAAACAAGTGTTGGCAAAGAGGGGAAGAAAAGAGAACCTTCATGCATTGTTGGTGGGAATGAAGATTGGTGCAGCCACTATGGAAAATGACATGGAGATTGCTCAAAAGTTAATTACCACAGATGGAGCAATTCTGCTTTGGGGTATTTACCCAAAGAAACCAAACCATCAATTTGAAAAAATATACATAATTCAATAAACGGTGTTGGGAGAATTGGACAGATAAATGAAAAAGAATGAAACAACATCACTTTCTTAAACCATATACAAGAATAACTTCAAAATGGATTGATGACTTAAATGTAAAGACTGGAGACCATAAAACTCCTAAAAGA